AAACTTTTGGCGCTCCGCGCGGATTTCTTGGATCCGCGCTGCGCGCTAGGGGCGGCGCCGAAAGCTTCTGGCGCGGCACTTCGCGTTGCCCGGGACTTCTCGCCTGGCACTTCGCGTTGCCCGGGACTCCGGACCACCTCGGCAAACCTCCCAATCGAGCGCACCCAAGATGGCGGCGGGCGCGCGCGGGCGGCCGCGGCCGCCCGGCGACGTCGCCAGCGGAGTGGTTTTTGGGGGGGGGGGCGGGGGGGCCGAACACCTGCGGCGCCGAGTCCGAGACTACATCCCTCACTGATGTTGGAGGGCGGACCCTTCCGAACGTGCAGTAGAAAGAGAGTCGCCTGGCACAGGTGCCTCTGGCAGCCTCACGAGTCAAGGGCGGCACCTCTGCATCGCTCTGAGGGCGTGGCTTAATGGGGGGGTCATAGATGGGGGGGTCAGAAAAAGGTCCCCTTTCGTACCCGTTTCGGGCCCCTCCAGAGCCCCAGGGGGCTCGTTTAGGTACCGTTTAAGTACCTTTTCGGACCACCCTCGCCACCCCCCCATTAATGCCCCTCATTACGCGGCGCCCAAGCTCTGTGGGCGACCTCGGTGCCGGAGTCCGTGCGGGCAATGCCGCGGTCAGTGCGGCGCGCTGCTGCGGACCTTCGTTCTGCGATGGAGTGCCGCGGCCGAATCCGCTGCTCCGTGCGGCGCCGTGCGGCCCCGGGTCCAGGGACCAGTCCGGCGTGGGAGCCAGCGGCTAGCTTTCGGGCGGCAGCCAGCAGCCAGGTCTCTGCACTGTCTTCGATTGCTTTGCACTGTGTGCTATGCGTTGCTTTGCCTTACGATGCTTGCCATTGCTTGGCGTTGCTTGGCATTGCTTCGCATTGTGTTGCATTGCGTGCCGTGGCTTTGCTTGCTCGGCACTGCATGGCATTGAGCGACATTGCGTTGCTTTGCTTTGCTTTGCTTTGCTTAGTCTTGCTTTCTCTGCTTTACATTGGATCACCTGAAGACCTACCCCTCGATCGAAGCACCCACCAAATAGCGCATATCGGTCGCACATTTGCATGGTCATACCAAAACCAGCGAGAAGCTCGGCCCGCCATCATTCAGCAGAGATGTGTAATGGTTGTCCTCGGCATCCTACTCCAATCACATCCCCCCTCAGCCTGATGTTCTTCCTCCTCCTTTTCCACTCTCCAAGTTCTCGCCCTCGCGCGAGTCCTAATGCTATTGATTGCCTCAGGCACTAGATGCAACTGGTTCGAATGCATGCGACATGCTTGCACGCGATAAACATTGGTCCGCCCCACTTGTTGCGACCCGATGTGCAAGCGCGAAACACATCAACTGATTTTGTCCTGCGAGTCCAGTGGGCAACTGCGCAAGACTTACACGGACGAAAACATGATGGACCCACGAACCCGGAAAGGGATATAGACATGCGCAGCATGGTCACGTTTTCACGATACCCAACTGGGCGACATCTCACAAAACATCCCACGAGACACCCCGCGAAACATCCCACGAGACACCTCGCGAAACATTCCACGAGACACCTCGCGAAACGTTCCACGAGACACCCCGCGAAACATTCCACGAGACACCCCACGAAACATTCCACGAGACACCCCACGAAACATTCCACGAGACACCCCACGAAACATTCCCCGGGGGTGCGACTGGGTGTGGTCGTGCTGGGGTGTGGTCGTGCTGGGGTGTGGTCGTGCTGGGGGGGTGGTCGTGCTGGGGGGTGGTCGTGCTGGGGCGTGATCGTGCTGGGGCATGGTCGTGCTGGGGCGTGGTACGTGCTTGGGTGTGTCGTGCTGTGGTGAGGTCGTGCTGGGGTGTGGTCCGTGCTGGGGGTGGTCGTGCTGGGGGGTGGTCGTGCTGGGGGGGTGGTCGTGCTGGGAGGTGGTCGTGCTGGGGAGTGGTCGTGCTGGGGCGTGGTCGTGCTGGGGCGTGATCGTGCTGGGGAGTGGTCGTGCTGTGGTGAGGTCGTGCTGGAGTGTGGTCGTGCTGGGGTGTGGTCTTGCTGGGGTGGGGCCGTGCTGGGGTGGGGTCGTGCTGGGGTGGGGTCCTGCTGGGGTGTGGTCGTGCTGGGGTGTGGTCGTGCTGGGGTGGGGTCGTGCTTGGGTGGGGTCGTGCTGGGGTGTGGTCGTTCTGGGGTGTGATCGTGCTGGGGTGTGGTCGTGCTAGGGTGGGGTCGTGCTGGGGTGGGGTCGTGCTGGGGTGTGGTCGTGCTAGGGAGTGGTCGTGCTGGGGTGTGGTCGTGCTGGGGGGTGGTCGTGCTGGGGGGTGGTCGTGCTGGGGGGGTGGTCGTGCTGGGGGGTGGTCGTGCTGGGGCGTGGTCGTGCTGGGGCGTGGTCGTGCTGGCGTGGTCGTGCTGGGGTGTGGTCGTGCTGTGGTGAGGTCGTGCTGGGGTGTGGTCGTGCTGGGGTGTGGTCTTGCTGGGGTAGGGTCGTGCTGGGGTGGGGTCGTGCTGGGGGGGTCCCTGCTGGGTGGGGTCGTGCTGGGGTGTGTCCGTGCTGGGTGGGTCGTGCTGTGTGGGGTCGTGCTGGGTGTGTCGTTTTCTTTGCTCTGATCGTTGCTGGGGTGTGGTCGTGCTGGGGAGTGGTCGTGCTGGGGTGTGGTCGTGCTGGGGGTGGTCGTGCTGGGGAGTGGTCGTGCTGGGGGGGTGGTCGTGCTGGGAGGTGGTCCTCAGAATTCAGGTCCCCAGGAGAGGACAATCTATAACACAAAACAAGCGTTTCGCTCGAGACATCCTCACCATTTTCTGAAAAACAAGCGTTTCGCTCGAGACATCCTCAAATTTTATTTCGCCGGCAATTCGCCGGCCTCCTTCGACCTCGTTATTTATCAGGGAAAAAATTCGCCGGCAATTCGCCGGCCTCCTTCAAGCAGGCACCGGGGGATTAAGTTTACAAACTAAAAGAGAACCCTGGGCCCACGCCCTTTCCGGGAAAAAACACGTTTCAAACAGGGGCTCGTCTTCGCAGTCTGTAGAACTGGAAGATGCAGGGCAAGTGGGCCCATGGGGCGCTCGTTGTTCAAGGGGGCGCCTCCCGTTGTGAACTTCATCAGTTGTGGTAGATTCTGATGGGGGCTCCTTAGGTGGTTTGCAACATCGTTTATACATCCTGAGTCTACACTGCCTTCTCTGCAATCATATCTCTGGCCTCCGCCTTTGCCTTCACCCTCCATCCTTGTCATCAACATCCTTCTGTCGCACGATCCGACGTGTTCGCAGGCCGGGCCAGGCGCATTGCTGGACAATTACTCACACGTCGACATCAAACTGATGGAAGATTTGCGGTTCTGAAATATTATGGACCCACAAACCCGGAAAGGGATATAGAACAGCATGCATGGAAACGCTTTCAGGACACCGTATTGGGCGACGGGCACTTCCACGAGACACCCCGCGAAACATTCCACGAGACACGGGCGACCGTTTTCAACGTTTTCCTGGAAACATTCCACGAGACACCCCGCGAAACAGTCGACGAGACACCCCACGAAACATTCCACGACGACGGGCAACCACTCAACCAAGGCGGTGTGGTCGTGCTGGGGAGTGGTCGTGCTGGGGTGTGTTCGTGCTGGGGGGTGGTCGTGCTGGGGGGTGGTCGTGCTGGGGGGATAGTCGTGCTGGGGCGTGGTCGTGCTGGGGCGTGGTCGTGCTGGGGTGTGGTCGTGCTGTGGTGAGGTCGTGCTGGGGTGTGGTCGTGCTGGGTGATGGTCTTGCTGGGGTGGGTCGTGAGGGGTTCAAAAACCCTTTGATTTATCGATCGCGATCGCGCGGGATTTCAACAACAAGCGTTTCGCCTGAGACTCCTCACATTTTAATCCGCCGGCCCACCTCGACCTCGATATTTATCAGGGAAAGAATCCGCCGGCCCACCTCAGTTGAGGCACCGGGGACAGTATACCTACTAAAAAAAAAAAACAACAAAACTAAAAAAGAAAAAAAAAAACAGAAAAAAAAAAAAAAAAAAGAAAAAAAAAAAAAAAAACAAAAAAAAAAAAAAAAAAAAAACTAAAAAAAACAAAAAAAAACATAAAGAAAACAAAAAAAAAAAAAATACTAAAAAAAAAAACAAACAAAGAAAAAAAAAAAAAAACAAACAAAAAAAAAAAAATACTAAAAAAAAAACTAAAAAAAAAAAAAAAACATAAAATAAAATAAAAAAAAAAACAAAAAAAAAAAAAAAAAAACAAAAAAAAAAAAAAAAAAAATGAAGAACCCTGGGCCTATGCCCTTTCCGGGGCAAATAAACGCTTCCCCGAGGAATTAGAGTGATGTGTGTTCCTTGCGGCCCTCATAAGTGTCCTCTTGGAGTCCGCCAAAGAAAAACCGCTCCAAGACGGCCCAAGAGGCTCCCAAGAGAGCCCAAGATGGCCCGAGAGAGCCCCGAGACCCAGAGCCGCCCAGGACGGCGCAAGAGAGTCCCAAGAAGGCCCCAAAAGGGGCCCAAGAGAGGGAACGCCTCGGCCCCAAGATGCCCCCAAGAGCCCAAGATGCCCCCAGGAAGTTCCCAAGAGGCCCCCAAGCTAAGAGGCCCCCGAAGACATGCCAAGAAGGTCCCATTACGACTTCAAGAAGCAGTCCAGGATGTTCCGAGGAGGCCCGAAGGCCCCCAAGAGAGGCCAAGAGGCCCCCAAGAGGCCCCCAAGCGGCCTGAAGCAGTGCTTTAGCCGGGAACACGAAACAGCGAGAATGCAAAAAACACATTGAAAATAACAAAATGAAATCAACAATTTCGCCCTCGGGGCGCTCTTAAGCGGCATCTTGAGGGCCTCTTCGGGCGTCTTGGGGGCCTCCGGGACAGTTTAAAACGGATCGTGTACATGTATTAGACCCATCGCGCGCGCTTCGCACGCGCTTAGGTTCTAACTGGTCGAGTGCTGACCACATCGAGACAAGAAGGCGGTCGTGAATAATGAAGTCGAGGTTCTCTGTTTCCTCCCGCCTCTTCCTCGTGCCTCCTCCTCCGCTCTCATCGACCGGTCACCGCTGAGGCTGGTGAGGATCCAGAGGTCGCCGGTCCTGCAGAGGCCGGTCCTGCAGAGGTCGAAGCTCAGCGACAGCGCCAGCGCAGAGGCGAAGAGCAGCAGCAAGGAGCGCCAGGGGGGGAGGCTTGGAGTCGGAGACTGGTGGCGAAGCTCCAGGTGCTGGCGCACCATCGCGGGCTCGTGCTGCTGCTGCTGCGGAGGGGAGGGCGAGGATGAGGAGGGAGGAGGGGGGAGCCTGGCTTGAGCCAAAGGCCGGTGGGACTACGCGAAGCATCAAAAATTAGCAATCCCTTCGGTCCAGTCCTTTGGGCGCGGGTGAACGTGAAGTGGTCAGACAGATGTAATCCATGAGTGAGAGCGCGCAGGCATGGGGAGGAAGGGTGAGAGACAGAGTGACCACATAAGCAACATCCCATGCATGCAGAAGATCTGCTCTTCCAGCACGTGGAATGACTCTGCATGCCGCAATTGCGCCCCCTCTCCCCTCCTCCCCCCATTTCCAGAAAGACTTCTCGTGCCTTGCAGGTGGGAGCTGGGATCCTGCCTGGGCTCCAAGCCTGCTTCTTGCTCTCTTCAGCCCTTCGGCACATGTCCGAAGCACCGCGACGGCCAGTGGGCCAAAATGATGGACCCACGAACCCGGAAAGAGATATAGACATGTGCAGCATGGTCACGTTTTCACGATACCCAACTGGGCGACACCTCGCGAAACATCCCACGAGACACCCCGCGAAACATCCCACGAGACACCTCACGAAACATTCCACGAGACACCTCACGAAACATTCCACGAGACACCCCGTGAAACATTCCACGAGACACCCCACGAACAGGCAACCACTCAACCAGACACCCCACGAAACATTCCACGGGGGTGCGACTGGGTGTGGTCGTGCTGGGGTGTGGTCGTGCTGGAGTATGGTCGTGTTGGGGTGTGGTCGTGCTGGGGTGTGGTCGTGCTGGGGGGTGGTGGTGCTGGGGGGTGGTCGTGCTAGGGGGGTGGTCGTGCTGGGGTGTGGTCGTGCTGGGGCGTGGTCGTGCTGGGGCGTGGTCGTGCTGGGGCGTGGTCGTGCTGGGGTGTGGTCGTGCTGTGGTGAGGTCGTGCTGGGGTGAGGTCGTGCTAGGGTGTGGTCGTGCTGGGGTGGGGTCGTGCTGGGGTGTGGTCGTGCTGGGGTGTGGTCGTGCTGGGGTGTGGTCGTGCTAAAGTCGTGCATTTCGCTCGAGACATCCTGCCAAAATTGAAGGAAATCCCAGAAAAACAGACAAATGAATCGAGACATCCTCGAAATTCCTGCGCGCGGGACGCGGCACGCGCGAGACATCCTCGGAATTCCTGCGCGCGGGGCGCTTTTCCGCGTCGCGGTCGGCTCTGCAAAACCAGCGTTTCGCTCGAGACATCCTCAACAAATTCTGAAAACAAGCGTTTCGCTCGAGACATCCCCAACTCTGCAAAACCAGCGTTTCGCTCGAGACATCCTCAACAAATTCTGAAAAACAAGCGTGTCGCTCGAGAAATCATCAAATTTTAATCCGCCGGCGCCCTTTGACCTTTATATTTGTGTGAAAAAATCCGCCGGCGCTCCTCAGTTGAGCCACTGGGGACAGGTTTACCTACTAAAAGAGAATCCTGGGCCTACGCCCTTTCCGGGAAAAAAGGCTCTCGCCTTAGTGCGCACGTTCGTCTCACAGACTGGCAACAGCTACAATAATGGAAGGACGGTGGTTGTCAATGTAGGGTGTTCGTCTTTCCGCCCGCGCACACTCGCCTTTACAGCTTGCAAAAGCTACACACATGGAAAAAGGAAAAGCCGAAAGGAAAAAAAGGTAGGAAAAAAGAAAAAAAAAAAGAAACAAAAGAAAGAAACAGGAAGTAAAAAGACGAGAAAAAAAAAAAGGGATTGGAAAAAAAATGAGAAAAAATAAAACTATAACAATGAAACAAAAAAAGAAGTAAGAACAAAATAAAGATAAAACAGACACAAAAAAGAGAAAAAATAAAGAAGAACAGAATAAAATAAAACAAAAACAGACAAAAGACCAAAAAAAAAAAAGAAAAGCACGCAAAAAAAAAGAAAAAAAAAAAAAATAAAAACAAAATAAACAAGAAAAAAAAAAAAAAGAAAAAACAAGAAAAAAATAAGAAAAAAAGGGCTGATGGTTCTCAACATGAAAATCTCGCCTTCGCGCCGCTAGTAGCGTCACATCGCATCCTGGGTGTAAGATGGCCCTCCTTCTCCTCTTCCTGCTCCTCGCGCTCCTCCTCTTCCTCCTCCTCCTCCCACTTCTCCTCCCCCCCCTTCCCCTCCCCATGATTCGTCCTCCCTCCTGCTCGTCACCATCCTCCCTCCTTTCGTCGGCGCTTCCTCTGCTCCATCCCACAACAGTGCGAAAAACATGATCGATCCACGAACCCGGAAAGGAATATAGAAATGTAACGCATGGCAGCGTTTTTAAAGACACCTGATTGGGTGACGGGCAAGTGCAATGCTGATTGTATCGATCTTGATGTAGCGTGCCGAGGGCTGTGCTGTGCTGCACCGTGCTGAATTGCGATGTGCCATGCCGCGGTTGTGCTCTATAGCGTCGTGGATCGAGTCTTCCTTTGCATCCGAGTCCTGACCGAACTGATCTGGATCTGAAGCTCGAGCTGCCTGAACACATAGTAGCTGCCCCAGAGCTAATTGACAGGAGGACATGCCAGGAGGACGCGCCGCGAAACGTCCCAAGGGACGCGCCAGGCGACGTGCCGAGGGACGTGCCATGGGGTCGCACCGTAGGACGTGCCAAGGGGACGCGCTACGGGACATCCTCAAAATTCCTGCGCGCGGGACGCGGCACGCGCGAGACATCCTTGGAATTCCTGCGAGCGGGACACGAAAACAAGCATTTCGCCTGAGACATCCTTTGAATTCTGACCCCCCACGAAGCCCCTGCTCGAGACATCCCCAAATTTTGCAAAACCGTTTCGCTCGATACATACTGAACAAATTGTGTTAAAACAACAAGCGTTTCGCTCGAGACAACCAGCCAAAATTATAAGAAATCCTGACAAAACAAACAAATTAGTCGAGACATCCTCCGAATTCCTGCGCGCGGGACGCGGCCCGCGCAAGACATCCTTGGAATTCCTGCGAGCGGGACACGAAAACAAGCATTTCGCCTGAGACATCCTCTGAATTCTGGCCCCCCACGAAGCCGCCGCTCGAGACATCCCCCAATTTTGCAAAACCAGCGTTTCGCTCGAGACATCCTCAACAAATTATTAAGATTACACTACACCCGCGCTCCCAGGGCCACGATCCCTCGTAAATTACGCTACGTCAGCGCTCCCAGGGCCACGATCCCTCGTAAGGGCTCCTGGGCCCTCCTGGGTCTTCCTTGGACCTCTTGGGCCCTCCTGGCTCTCCTGGAGCCTCCTGGAGCTTCTCCTGGGCCCTCCTTGGGCCCCCTGGTGCCTCTTGGAGCCTCCTGGGTCCTCCTGGGCCCTCCTGGGCTCTCCTGGGCCCTCCTGGGCTCTCCTGGGCCCTCCTGGAGCCTCCTGGGCCCTACTGGGCGAAGTCAAGGTTCGAAAACACATGGGACTTGCCACATTTCTGAAATTCGGTACCACCCCTCACGCAGGTCGGCGGGGTCAGGATCCGAAAACACATGGGATTTGCCACATTTCTGGAATTCCGTGCCACCCCTCACGCAGATCGGCGGGGTCAGTGTCCAAAAACACATGGGATGTGCCACATTTCTGGAATTCCGCGCCACCCCTCACGCAGATCGGCGGGGTCAGGGTCCAAAAACACACGGGATTTGACACATTTCTGGTATTCCGTGCCACACCTCATGCAGATCGGCGGGGTCAGGGTCAAAAAACACATGGGATTTCTGCTATTTCCGAACTTATGCAACTTCAAGAATCCAAAACTCTGTTCCCAGCGCCGTTCCGGAGGCCGCGGCATCTCGTTATTTATCGAGCGAACGCGTTTACATTGTTTTTTTATCGTTTAAAGTCGATGTCGGAAAAAAGTTGACTTCACCTGTGAAATATCGAGGTTTCCTTAAAGGCAGTAAAATTCCAAGAGCACGATCTGCGTGAGGGGTGGCAAAAAATGGCCTTCGTCCTCACAGTTGAAATCCGCCGGCCCCCTTCGACCTCGTAACTTATCGCACAAGAATTCCGCCGGCCCCCTTCAAGTAAAAACCGGGGGGATGACCATCTAAAAGAGAACCCTGGGCCCATGCCCTTTCCGGGAACAAAAGCCGCCCTCCTGCGCGGAGCGGCAGCGCCGTGCCGCACGGGGAGCCCGTGCGTTTCGCTGCTCCGCCACAGCCGCTCTGGGCACACGCGCGCCCACTCACGAAACGAGGCGGGCGGGAGGACAACGGAAGGGAGGGGGGGAGGCGGGAAAATGTAGAGGGAGCGCGGGGGAGGGGGGAGGAGGGAGGATGCAGGAGGAAAACAGGATCGGCCCACGAACCCGGCAAGGAATATAGGACCGTAACACATGGCAGCTGGCAGCGTGTTCCAAGACACCTGACTGGGAGACGGGCAAATGCAATGCTGAGTGTATCGCTCTTGATGTACCGTGCCGAGGGCTGTGCTGTGCTGCACCGTGCTGAATTGCGATGTGCCATGCCGCGAATGTGCTCTATAGCATCATGGATCGAGTCCTCCTTTGCATCCGAGTCCTGACCGAACTGATCTCGATCTTAAGCTCGAGCTGCCTGAACACAGAGTAGCTGCCCCAGAGCTGATGGACAGGGGGAGCATGCCAGGAGGACGCGCCGCGAAACGTCCCAAGGGATGCGCCAGGCGACGTGCCAGGGGACATGCCATGGGGTCGCACCGCGGGACGTGCCAAGGGGACGCGCTACGGAACGTGCCAATGGATGTGCCACGGGATGTGCCAGGGGACGCGCCACTCTCGGTGCCGGAGACTCCCAGGACGCGCCGAGCTGATGGCCAAGGGGAACATGCCAAGTTGCATGCTGAGTGTATCGGTCTTGATGTACCGTGCCGAAATCTGTGCTGTGCTGCGCCGTGCTGAATTGCGATGTGCCATGGCGCGATTGTGCTCTATAGCCTCGTGGATCGAGTCCTCCTTTGCATCCGAGTCCTGTCCGAACTGATCTGGATCTTAAGCTCGAGCTGCCTGAACACAGAGTAGCTGCCCCAGAGC